AATTTAAACCGAAAAAAATTTCTTAATAGTAGTAGTGATGAAGAACAAATATCAAATATATCATTTGAAAAAAATAAATCATCACTTGATGATGTATCTTTACAATCATCTAAGAATAATGAAGTAGACATACAAGAAAAAATTTTAATTGAAAATGATAGTCCAAGAACTCCCAAAAAATGCTTAAAAGCCAAAAGAAAAGAAAATATTATAATATCAGATTCAGATAGCAACAGTCCTACTTTTAAACATAGTCCTAAAAAAAATCCAATAAAAAGATGGATAGGACCAGATTACAAATTAAATTTGAAGTCTTTAGGTTTAGGAAAAGAGTTAAATTCATGGATACAACTTGCAAAAGAGAAACCAATAATGTCTTCAGTACCAGTAAATATTAATATGATTTTATTTTTTATTGATAATATTATTTTTAATAAATATTAATCATTATTATTATTAAATATTATTATTAATTTTATTTTTAGATTACAAAAGATAAATTGGAAGATAGATATAAACATTTAAAAAATTTTCAAATAGAAATTCTTGAAAAATTTTATACTGCATTAGATCAAATACCATTACCAGTATTAGAAAAATTTCCACAATTTAATACACATACATTTCAAGATTTAAAAATTTTATATCAACATGTTAAAGCAAAGATACGTCTGGTTGAAACAAAGTTAACACATATTGAATATGATAAAAATCAAAAACATGTTCAGGAATTATCTGAAATTACAAATAGATACATAAATGATTCACCATTATCTAAAACATCACAATTTTCAAATCAACAGTTAGTAATTTCTGATAATGATAATTTCAATGCATCTAATACTAATTGTTCAGATATAGGATCAAGTTATACCAATATTATAAAAATGAAAACTACAATTTCACCAACAATAGAAGATTTTGCTCAATCATTACAAAAAAATAATGAATCTTACATAAAGAAAAAAGAGGATATAGATTCACATATTTCTCTTCAAGATGAATCAAATGATTCTCTAGTTCAAACGAAAAAGAGTATATTTCAATTGAAAAAACCTATTAAGGCATCTGTGACTTCTGAAATTTCTAAACAAATAGGAGAAATATGGAAAAAAGAAGAACAATCCAAAGTAGCTAATACTAAAACAATCATTTCTAATTTCAATATTAGTTCTGATAAATTAGAAAAAATTGAAAGTAATGAAAAAAATATATATTCTGAAGAGAGAAAAAAAACTGTTCAAATTCCTCAAAAATTAAAATATGAAAATAATCAAAATAATTTGAATATAAAGAATGCATCATATATAAATGGTAAATTTATACTTTTATTATATGTATATTATACATATATATAATTATTTATTTGTTATAGATAATACTTCATATTCATATTCACAAGATATAGTTGATTGTTTGACTCAAGAACTTGAGCAATTTCCTGCATTAAGTACAGATTGTAATATAAAATCAAGTTTTAAAGGTAAATTATAATAATTAAGAACTTATTTTTTTGTTCTTTTTATTATTGTAAGTTTTCTATTGTTTTTTATTTTTATTTTTTTAAAGAAACTGCTACACAAAGTACTAATAATACTATAAATGAAAAAAAACAAGAGAAGGATAAATTAAATATCCAAATGGGTATTTTTACTGGAAGTTATAAAAATGATGGTGTCAGTGGTGAATTTGATGGATTAACATATCCTCATTCACGAGAAATGTTAAAAGTAGGATATTTTATTTTTCAATATTATTTTAAAAATTTATATCTATATTTCTATGAAATATTTAACATAACGTTTAAATTTTTTTGTATCAAATATATTTTTTAAGATTTTCCGACAAAAATTTGGATTATATTCATTTAGACCAAATCAGTTACAAGCAATTAATGCTGCAATTTTGGGATTTGATTGTTTTATTTTAATGCCAACCGGAGGAGGAAAATCATTATGCTATCAACTTCCAGCACTTTTATTGCCTGGAGTAACAATTGTAATTTCACCATTAAAAAGTCTTATTCTTGATCAAGTTCAAAAACTCACTTCTCTTGATGTAAGTTTTTTAAATATCATATTTTATCTATATATATATTCATTAATAATATTGTAGATTCCAGCTACACATATGTCTGGAGGAATAACAGATAGTCAAGCATTAGGAATATATAGAGAACTTTCAAAAAAAGATCCAGCTCTTAAATTATTATATGTAACACCCGAAAAAATTTCTGCATCTCCAAAATTTTGCAATATTTTATCTTCATTATATAATAGAAGATTATTAGCAAGATTCGTTATTGATGAAGCACATTGTGTTAGTCAATGGGGACATGATTTTCGACCTGATTATAAAAGATTGAATTGTCTCAGAGAAAATTATCCTAAAGTGCCAGTCATTGTTTTAACTGCAACAGCTACACCAAGAGTTAGAAGCGATATATTACATCAATTACGTATTACTACACCTAAATGGTATGTAATTTGATTTGAAATATATTTAACATACGAAATTTTACCATTTATATAATAAAATATTTTTATTTTGATTAGGTTCATGTCAAGCTTTAATAGACCTAATTTAAGATATAGCATTATCGCAAAAAAAGGTAAAAATTGTTCAGATGAAGTAATAGGTATGATAAAAACAAAATACAAGAATGACTGTGGTATTGTTTATTGTTTATCTCGTAAAGATTGTGATGATTATGCAATGCACATGCGAAAGAATAGCATTAAAGCATTAAGTTATCATGCTGGCCTTACAGATAATAATAGAAGCGATATTCAAGGTCGATGGATTTCAGAAGAAGTATGAAAATAAGTAATAAAAATATTTTTTTGTAACTACATAATTTTTTAATTATAAAAAATTTTAGATCAAAGTTGTTTGTGCAACAATAGCATTTGGAATGGGTATCGATAAACCAAATGTACGATTTGTAATACATGCAGCTTTACCAAAATCTATCGAAGGTTATTATCAAGAAAGTGGACGCGCTGGTCGTGATGGAGAAAATGCAGATTGTATTTTATTTTATAATTATACTGATATGCATAGGATTAGAAAAATGATTGAACTAGATAACTCAAATCCTACTATAATAAAAACTCATATCGACAATTTATTTAAAATGGTATCATTTTGTGAAAATAAAACAGATTGTCGCAGAACACAACAATTAAATTATTTTGGTGAAATATTTGATCGAGAACAATGCATTGCTAACAAAGTTACATCATGCGATAATTGTAGAAGTAAAGTAAGTTTTTTTTTTATTTAAAAAAATAAAGTTTGTATTAATTAAATTATTTAAATATCTTATATATATAAATATTTTGTATATAATTTTTTAGGATACTATTACTATGTTAGATGCAACAGATGATGCAAAACAGATTATGAAAGCTGTACGCGATTTAAATAATCAAACAAGAAATTGTAATCTTACATTAGTACTTCTCACAGATATATTTAAAGGAAGTGATATCAAAAAAATAAGAGAATTGGGTATAAAAATTAAATTTCAATATATTATATATATATTATCTCCTTGTGTAATATTAAATATTTATAGGTCTTAATAAATCCCCTTTATATGGTCGAGGAAAATCGTGGAATAGAGCTGATATTGACCGTTTATTACATCATATGGTGCTTAAGGAATATTTACAAGAACAAATGTACATAAACAATGAAATTGCTTGTGCTTATGTAAAAATTGGACCAAATGCCGCGGAATTCATGACAAAAAAAGATATAAAAGTAGAATAATATATTCAATTTATTTTATTATTTAGTTTAAAAGTGAATTATAAGAATAAATTATTAAAATATAATATTTTTTAAAATAGATAATGCTTCCTATAAAGTCTAGTAATAGTACTACTGCTGTAGCAACAGTATCTACAATTACGAAAAAAATTGATAAAATACTTGTGGAATTACAAGATCGATGTTACAAAGAATTAATGGAGATAATAAGAGGAATTGCTGGAGCACTTGATGTTTCAGCATCATCGGTTATGAACATGATTGCAATTAGGGCAATGAGTCAAATACTTCCAGATAGTGAAGAAGCTATGCTACAAATCCCACATGTAACTAAAGCAAACTTTGAAAAATATGGAAAAGCTTTATTAGATATTACACAAAAATATGCTGCAGAAAAATATGGTAAATAAAATGTTATATTTAAGTTATATAAATTATATTTAATTATACATAATATGATATATTTTAATAATATATATTAATTTAATAATATATTTATACTATGATTTTTAACAGTATTATTGAGTGAAGAAAAGGAAGAGAGTAGTGATGATGATAATGACGATATGTGGTATAATGATACTCCTACATTTTCCGGTAAAATTAACTCATTTCGTGGTAAAAAACGTAAAGGCAAAACTACTTATCGTAATACAAATAAAAAGTTTAAACGAACATCAGGGTATATATTTATTTATTTTGTTTAATATCATATTAAATATAATGATATATTATATATTATTTTTTGATAATTCTTATTTTATTTTTAGTACACAAAAAAGAAAAACAACAACAAAAGCAAAATGTACGACTACAAATTTAAACAAAGGACCGGGATTAGTAAGCTTAAATTCAAAGAAATAATATAAATAAACATACATAGATAAGATTGATATTTAATATGTAATATATATGTATTTATAACAGCATGGTATTCCATGTAACTTAGATAATGTATTTATATTAATTTGAAATTGGCATTTCATCACAAAATAATGCAATAGTATTATGTTTTTATAAGATAAATAAAATATGTATATATACACAATTTTATAATAAAAAATATTTTTAATAATATTGATTAATATATAATATATAAATAAAAGATAACATTATAATTATATATTTTTATAAATTCTATAATTGTAAATATTATATTTATAATATAAATACTATTATATTTTTATGTTTATAAACAAAAAATATCCTAAAAACTCAAATAATTTTTTATATTATCATAATTTTATTTTTTAAGATTAAATTGAAAATTGAAGCTATTAAGTACAGTTACTAAGTTATACTTATATACTTATAACTCAGGTTGCATTATTCTTGCTTGACGGTCTTCATTTTTGATATGTTTTTTTAACAAATCCATAACTTCATTATCAAATTCAGGTGGAGTTGGTTTTGCGCCTGTAGCCCAATAAAATATATCCCAATCGTTGGTTGGCAAATTGATAAGATGATCATATAATTGAAGTTGTTTATCATCAAAATCACATAAATATTTTTTAGCAAATGTACTTAAAAGAAGACCATTTTCTAACATGCCACGTTTGCGAGATTGATACAATAATCTATATTATATAAAAATAAAATATAAAAAAACAATATTAAATTTTAATTTTAATAACATTTTATTTATTTTATATATTACCGAGCTTTTTTTATATCTTTACTTTCTTCATTACGTTTTACATATAATGGTATATTTGGTTCTTGGCTTTCTGGATGAATTACATCTTGAAAATCATCTTTACAATATATACAAGTTATTGAAATACGTCGTAGAGGTACTGGTTTAACCTTGAATTACGTGTTACGAATACTTTAAATGTTTAATAAGATTTTTAAAAATTTAATAAGAACATAACTATTGTTTTAATAATAACATATTATTATTTATGCTTACTATTGATATCAGAGATTTTACAAGAACATTCATGTTTATTTTTTTTACCTTTTGCTATTACAAAATTATTATTTTTGATAAGGTTAAGTAACTATATTTTCACAATAGATCACCTGATAGATTAAACATAATTTTATATTACTTATATATATGTATATAAATAATTATTAATATTCATTTATTTGGTTATTTTCATTTATTTAACAGTTTTAAATAAAATATAATTCATTTTGAATCATTAATATTATTAAAATTAAAATGATAAGGAATTTCGAATTTTTGTTTTTGTTTTTTTAATAACTAATTGAGATATTTATTTTTATACTCATAATTTAGTTATTTTATTCGAATTTAGTTCAAATGAAAATGCATTCACATATATTAATTTTTAGGTTATAATATATTATATAAATATTTTCTTATTTATTGAAAATATATTTTTCCATAAATTACATATTTATTCCATACTTATTTATTTCATCATTTTCGAATTTATAAAAAAATTAATAATTAAATAAAATAAAATTAATATTTATTTAAATTATTAAATTATATTTTATATAATTATGATCTATGAAGAAAATTATTAATTTAGCAAAAATTATTATTTGCTTTGTCAAATTTTCTAAATTCTAAGCTGAAAGAATATAATTAACATTACAGATTTATAAGGATTTAGAAGATTGAGAACGTAAATTGATTTTAGGTTTTTGATCTGTCTCTCAAAATTAGGAGGAGATAATTCCAAATAAAATTTTGAATTTTTGCTATTCGATATTTTTATTTATTTATTTATTTAAAATGCTCCAATTTACAAAAGATTTCACACCTGTGATTCTCAATATCAATTATTTATTAAGTTTCTTTTGCTTTAGAATTTCTTTATTGCAAATTTTTTTTTATATTGCAATTTTTTTTCAATGTTCCGTCAAGTATGTGAAGATAGAAGAAAAATTGTCATATAGGATTAATATGATGTACATGTGCGAAAATATACCGGAAATTAATTCCTAAAAAAATGTATGATCTTAGAATGCAAAGAGATAAAATATATTTAAAATAAAAATATATGAGAAATTTTTTTTTCAAATCATACGTACCTTAACCGAAAATTTTAAATTGATCTGATTTAATAATTTGTAATAAATTAATTTTAAAAATTCTTTGAGAGAATTATCGGATTTTGATTTTCTCTTTGATTGATTGTAGTATAGCAAACACTTAAATATTAAATTTAAACTTAACTTAAAATTTAAATACAAAATAATTTATTCGCTCAATAAATTTTAAAAAGTTTGTTTATAATTTTATTTATTGATAGTGATTGAAGCTAAATTCAAGGAATTGATTTATAATATTAACAAAGCTGAATTCACGTGATAGCATAATATTGAAATAAGTTTTTAATTGAAACTTTGAAATTTTGAAAATATATTTATATTATATTATATATAAACAGAAAATGAATTAGAATTATGTAGGTTAGCAATACTGCTTTTAATTAACTAAGCGATACTTTGTATTCTTATTATTCTTTTTTTTTTATGATAATTAAAGTATGTGATTGACGATAAATTTTTTATATTTATTTATGAATATTTATTTAAATGCAAATTGTTTATTATAATTGTTAAATAATAATTATATAAATATAAATATGAATTTAAGAAAATAAATGAAATAGTTTCTAAACTATTACAAATAATTGATTATATTTTGTCAATGGATAATAAAGTATTAAAAAACATTAAAAATGACAATGAAAATGAGATAAATGTTAATGTAGATCAAAAAAATTTAAATAGTTTTATAGATGAATGGAGTGTTTGTGATGTATTTAATACAGATGAAAATAATGGGAAAACACAATATTTTGATGATAATGAAGAGAAAAAAGAAAAGAAATCATCAGAAATTACACAAAATATTTTAAATTTTTCTCAGAATGAAATAAATACTCATTGGCAGGATAATACATTTTTGGATAAAATGTTTTCACAATTTGATTCATATAATGAAAAAAATGTTTTAGAATGTTCTACTCAGGTAGTTGGATAATTTAATATTTCTATATTTGTAAATATATTTAATGTAAGATTCATAGATATAATGTTAAGATTTATGTGTATATTGTATTTTTTTAAAATAGGTTATTCATACATCAAAAAATTGTTCTGAAGAAACATATGTTACAGAAGGAATGAATTCAATACATTTATTAAAGAATAAGCAACAGGATGTTAAATTTCTTAAAAGATATTCAGTTAATTATAGTAATATTATTCCAAATAAAATATGTTGTTTAGATAATGAATTAAAAGAACAAAATATAAATATTAATACAAGTTTAAACAATGATACATTTTATGGTTTATCAAATAAGATAAAAGAACTTTTCTTAAAAATTAGAGGCATTAATACATTATATCGTAAGTATTTAATTTATGATAAAATAAAGTTTATTATTAATAAATTTATTTTATTCATTATAATTATATCAATTATTTATCTTGTTTTAGAATGGCAAGATGATTGTTTAAATTTAGATGCAATAAAGAATAGAAAAAATTTAATTTATGCCCTTCCTACTAGTGGAGGTAAAACATTGGTTGCAGAAATATTAATGTTGCAAGAACTTATATGTAATAAAAAAAATGCAATATTTATATTACCATTTGTTGCAATAGTACAAGAAAAAGTAAGTATTAATACCAGTAAGTATTAATGCAATGTAATAGAATTTATTTATTAATCATTATTTATAATAATTATTATAATAATTAATCAAAAGGAATATAGAAATATTTTTAAAATTTTTAGATTCAAGCAATGACACCATTTGCACTTGAGTTAGGTTTTTTAGTTGAAGAATATGCAGCAACAAAAGGAACTTTTCCTCCCAAAAAGCGTCGTAAAAAAAATAGCATATATATATGTACTATAGAGAAAGCATTAGGTTTAATAAATAGTTTAATAGAAGAAAAACGTCTTCATGAAGTGAGTAAAAATTAGGAAATCTGTTACTAAAATTTTAGTTCAAATATTAAGTTATATCAATATATTTTAGATTGGTATTATAGTTGTTGATGAATTACATCTTCTTGGAGAAAATGGAGGAAGGGGTGCTACATTAGAAGTTCTTTTAACAAAAGTACTTTATGTTAATGGTAAAGAAATCATATTTATAGAAATTAATATTATAATATTATTGTATATTATTATATTATATTATATATTATTGTATATATTGTATATTATTGTATATTATTATTATTGTATATTATTATTATATATATTATAATATTATTATAATATTTATATTTAATATATGTATTATTAATTATAATACATTCTTTATTTTAGATAATATTCACATTATTGGAATGAGTGCAACAATAGGTAATTTAGAAGAAATAGCAACATTTTTAAATGCAGATTTATATACTGGAAATTTTCGACCTATTGAAATTAAAGAATATGTGAAATGTGATGAAAATATTTGGTTAGTTGATTTAAAAACAGAAGAATTGTTAACAGATGTAAAAAAAATTAATTATCGTGTAAGTTAATGTTTTTCCATTTTTTTTGTATTTATAATTATTAATAATTATTAATATTTAATAATTATTCATTTGTTTTAAAAGTATTCAAAAGATGCAGCAATTATAGATCCTGATCGAATAGCAGGTCTAGTAATGGATATAATTCCAGAACATTCATGTCTTATATTTTGTTCTTCTCGTAAAAATTGTGAAAATGTTGCTCTATTATTAACTAAAGTTTTACCTAAGTAAAAATTTTTTTTATGTTTTTTATGTTTTGTATATGTTCTTATATATTATTATAAATCATATCAATTATATATGATTATTTATAGATCATTACAAGATTACAAAAGGGATAAAAAACAAAATTTATTAAATGCACTTAAAAATGAAGAAGGTCTTTGTCCTATCTTACATAAAACCATAAATTTTGGTGTAGTCTATCATCATTCTGGTCTTACATCTGAGGAAAGACGATTATTAGAAGATGCTTTTAAAATAGGAACACTTTGTGTAATATGTTGTACATCAACATTAGCAACTGGAATAAATTTACCAGCAAGAAGGGTATATTTTATTATTCGTTTTAAATAGTAATAATTATTGTTTATTTTTATAAAAAATATATTTACAATAAATACATAATAGGTAATATTAAGAAGTCCGTATATTGGCAATCAGTTTTTAAATTTAAGTAGATATAAACAAATGGTAGGAAGAGCTGGTCGTGCGGGTATGGGAAATATAGGAGAAAGTATACTTATATGTAAAAATAATGAATTACAAAAGGTATATATAATAATATCTATTTATTATAATTAGAATATATATATAAATAGAAAGTATATTTATTATTAATAATATTTATTATATAGATAACAGAACTTTTAAAATCTAAAATGGATGATTCTTTAAGTACATTACATATAGATAGAGATAGAGGTATAAATAATTTAATTTTAAGTGCTATATTATTTTCTATGGCAACAACTAGATATGAATTACACAAAATAGCAAAAAGGACATTACTTAATATTCAACAAAAACGTTTAAATATAAATATTAAGCAAATTGTAGATGAATCGATAACTGAATTTTTAAAAAGTGGTGTAATAAAAATAAAAGAAAAAGAAAGAAATGTTAATATATTAAAACCAAATGTAAGTGTTATGTTTCCATCACAGGATATATCTTCTTGTCCTACAACTATAGAAACAAAAAAAAAACGAATAATAAAACTTACCAATAATTCTAAATTAGAATTATGTAGTCTTGGACGTGCAGCTATGAAAGGTAAGAATAATTTTATTATTAAATAATTAATAAAATATTTCTTTATATAAAATTATTTTAAATATATGTATTTTATGTTGAAGGTTGTATTGATATGGAATGTGCATATATATTATATCAGGATTTAAAAAAAGCACAAGAACATTTAATTCTTCTTGATTATTTACATTTATTATATCTTGTTACGCCATATAATATAATATCTCAAATAAAACCAATAGGATTTATTTATTACGATATGGTAATTTTTGATTTATAATTATTTATAATTTAATTTAATATATTTTATAATTTGATTAATATTTAATCATTTAATCATTAATAAAAATATTGTAATATTCTTATAAAATTTAGATAATTAAATTATCAGAAACACAAATGAAAACAGCTAGACTTTTAGGAATTAATGAAGTAAACATAAGTAAAATACGTGATGGATTAATGCCTAAAGTATGTATATAAAATTTAAATTATATATATTAAATCTATTTTTATATTTAAGTTATTTTATACATAATAGAATGTAGAACCAAGAGTGATTCATAGATTTTATGTAACATTAATACTGTATGATTTGTGGAATCAACATGCAGTGTATAAGATAGCAGAAAAATATGATATAAGCAGAGGTATTGTACAAAATCTTTTAACTGCTGTATCATCATTTGCATTTTCTGTAATTCGATTTTGTCAGGTTAGTAAATACATTATTAAAATATTGATTTATAAAATATATATGATTTATAAAATCAATATATAAAATTTAATTAGATTATTATTTCAGGAATTAGATGAATTTTGGGCATTTAAAGATTTATTAAATGTATTCAGTAAAAAATTATCTTACTGTTGTCCCTTAGAATTAGAAGCATTAATGGATTTACCTTTAGTTAAAATTGTAAGAATATTTTTCATTTATAGAATAAAATAAAATAAAATAAAAAAATAAGTTTGAAACAAATTATAATTGTAATATTTCATTTTATAGAGTAGAGCACGACAATTATATAATGCTGGATTTAAAACAATACAAACTATAGCTAAAACTCAACCAATACAGTTACAAGAAAAAATTCCATATTTAAGTAAAAAGGTTGCAATACAAATTATTGAGGGTGCTAAAGTAAATCGTTTAGTAGATTATATTTATTAATGATGTATCATATTATTAATATTAATTTTATTACATTTAATTTAATTATATTTTACAGTTACTAATAGTGGAGAAAATAGAAAATCTACAGGATGAAACTGAAGATATTTTAGATGGAATACACATGAATACTTTAAAAGGATTTTAAATTATTAAATTAAAATTAAAAAAAAAATAATTAAATTTAAATTACTCAATTTATATAATACAAATATTTCATATATATCAATATTTATATAATACAAATAACATATATTTTTTTACATAATTTAATTATAAAATTTTGTTAATTATGTATAAAATAAAATAAATTATTATTTTTAAATTTTTATATATTGTGTCAAACAGATCAATGTGTTCTAAGAATAACACATTGTTTAAGCAGGCACATATATTAAATGTCCAAAATGTAATTGATTTCATTTGAAAAAAGTATGATATCAAAACATCATGGCACAATTTCTATAATATATTATTATATAACAAAATATAATAAATACAACATAGTATATATTATATATTGTATTACAATATAATATATAATAACAAATTATTTATTAAAATGCATTGTTTTATAAAATATAAAAATTACAATGTTAAATTATTACTTAATTTCTAACGTTTTTTATATAAACATGGTTTTAAAGTTATAAGAGGTAACTTATTTTTATTACTAATGTCTCTTTCTTTTTTAAAATCTAAAAAATAAAATAAGTTATGAGACAAATCTTTCCAAGTATTTTTGAAACCATAACTATTTATTACTTTTATAAAATCTTCTATATGTTCAAATCGACTTTCAACTTCAGCTATTTTTAAAATGCCACTGAAAATCATTTTTTTTTTATATATTTCCTTTATATTAAATATTAATATATTATTATTTTTTGTTTTTACTTATACTTACTCTTTTTTAAGAACTCTATTTGCTTCTATAATATAGTCTTTAAGATTGGTTCCCATCAGAGATAGGCAAAACACAACAACATTTACTCCACTTGTTAATAATGGGGTATGTGCTATATCACAAGCAGTTACATTTTTATTGAGAGAAATAAAATCAAAAGAATGTACTTTATGAGGAACTGTAGCAGCAAGTCTTGCTTCTCCACATCCAAAATCAGCAATTATATATTGCTTTGGTCTATAACATCATTAATATATATTTATGGATTAATATAACAATTAAAAATTAATTTATAATTATAACAATATGTACTGTATATACTAACATTTTTTTTATCGAAGATATTATAACATCAAGGGGATTTAAAGGCCATTGTTCGATTTGCTGTTTATATCCTTCATGATATGCCTTAAATGCATCAGGATCATTTTTGAAATATTTTTTAGATTCTGAACTTTCATTATTATAAAGTGTTTCATTCAAATATCTGAATCTAGAAGCTCTTAATTTAGCCATCATTCTATCTCTTAAAGATTGTGGTTTTTCATTCACTTTTCTTTTTTTTCGTTCTTCTTGTTCATTATCTTTAGAAAATAATTTTTCTAAATTATGTTGCTTAGGAGATATTTCAGAATTATTTTTTTTTGAAGAATCTGAAAATTTATTCTTATTTTGTTTTACTTTCTTTTTTAATATTGAACTTAAGTTTATTATTTTATTATTTAGTTTTTGTTTTCTTTTTTGTTTTTTTCTTAATATCAAATTCAGTTTTGTTAATTTGTTATTTAGTTGTTTTTTTTGTAACATTGAATTTAATTTTGCTGGTTTGTTATTTCGCTGTTTCATTTCAGATTCTGTATGTTTAGATTTTGTCTTTTTTATAAATTTATTATTATTATTAATCTTATTTTCAATTTGGTCAGAAATTTTATTTTTTTCCTCAAGATTTTTTTGATTTTGTTTTTTATCATTAACTTGCTGTTTTTTTTTAACTTTTTTGATTAATTTACTTTTTCTTTTATTTTTAGTATCTATTACTTTTATTATGTCAGAACTTAAAAAATTAATAGAATTATGATTTTCATTATTCTTATATATTTGTTTGACTTTTTTAGACAATTTATTTTTTGTAGATTTATTTTTAAATTTTAAATTTTTATTTTTAACAATTGTGAGTTTATGTTTATCTTCATCATCTGTTAATTTTTTTTTCTATAATATATATATATATATATATTTATATATAATGAATATAATTTGATAAATTGGACAAATTTTATATATATATGATAAATAGTTTTGTTTAGTACAAAGCTTATTAAAATAACTTTACATATATGTATATCATATAACCTATTATTACTTACCTGACATTTCTTTTTTTCACTAATACTTTTATCGGTTTTCTTTACATTAGATATATTTTTTTTCATTTTTTAAATTATTTTATATAATCTTTTTTTATATCTAATTATAAATATTAAAAAGAATATTCTCTATTTTTCACTTTTTGTGGTGTGTGCATTCATATATATGACTGTCATTATTAAATTTTAAACAAATGAATGTTTTATATTAATTTTATATATGGAAGCAGTTTTTTTTATACAATTTTATACTACTATTATTATACAACAAAAAATTTAGATATATAAATTTATAAATATGATATAATTCCTCTCTTTTCTAGTATTATTAAAACAAATTAAAGAAATTAAAAGAAATTTGATTAGATAAATAGATAATTAATATAATAAATACTAAAATTTATATATATTAGATATGGTTATATAAGCATATGATTATTTACATATATACTTATATATACGATATGAGACAATAAATGAAACAAAATCTCAAAATTTGAATATGTATGTAATGCATGCATTAAATGTTCAATAGATTCATAATAGATGGCGTTTATTATAGTAATTGATAAGTGCTGCCACATAGTATAAATAAAAAATATGAAATTAACTTATTATTTTATTTCATTTTATTTTATATATAATAATTATATATAATATTATTTTATAATAAAATTTAATATATAAGATATATATATTATGTATAAATTATTATTGCATATAAATCATTAATAATTAATATATTATTTACTTACTTCTAAAATTCTTTCTAATCAAGATCGTTTTTACATTATTATTTATATTAATATTTATATTCTATTATTTTAAATATTATATTTATTCTTTAATCATTTATGAAAATATTTTCAATTTTTTTATTATCTTTTTTATTGTCTTTTTTATGAAATAATATATATATATATATATATTATTTCATACGCTTTTTATAAATAAATATTATAATTAATATTAGAATATTAGAATAATAATAATAAAATTAAAATTTATTAAATTTATAATAACACAAATATAAAAATATAAAATTTTATGAATTTTAAAATATATAGGATATAAATTTTAAAACATAGGTTATAATTTAAAAAATTGTAAATTATTTATTACACTAAATATTCTTTTTTTGCTATTTTTATATTTAATTATATATTTTATTTATTTTTATTTAATTAGATATTTTTGAATTTTTTTGTAATTTAATTTTTTCTAACAATTTTTCCCTTATAAAAAATTTGTTAGAGATATAATGCAGTTTGAATTGAGTCACACAACAAAACGTATGAAATAATTTATATTTATCCGTTTGACGCGTACTGCAAAGTAATATAATTAACTATAATAATATCTCATGAAGCTTCTCGCATGCTTTTCAAATAAATTGAAATTGTCCCAAAAATGTCAGTATATTCTACGGATTCGCTAGAGAATATTAACGAAATTTCACCAAGGAATAAGAATATTTTACATAAAAACATTATTGGATCTAACCTAGTGCCAACCAAAACATTGATTTTTGATTTATTCCTTAAGCCGTCACTTTCACCAAAATCTATTGCTCCATCATTATCTCAGAAAGAAGACAAGAGTAATAAAATATATATATCTATAATACTTCAACATTATATTAAATAATCAATTCAATTTAAATTTCTAACGTTTTATTAATTTCATCATTTGATTTATCTTATCTATCACTTAAGAATTAATCAATCATGATAAAATTATTGATCAATGTTAATATAAAATTTTGATGTTATAAATAGATTACATATTATTGTATTCAGATGTTTAAAGATGATAATAATAATTCCTTTTTATATTTTTTTTATAAATTCACGAAGAAACATTTATGAAAAGTTGAGACGGTGAATCATCGATCCATTCGAGGAGACTGACATTTGTCCTGTTTCTTTCTTACTGAAAACGTTTCAGATACCGGATCTAATGAAACCACGCCGAGTACCGACAAAGACACGAGGACAGTCGGCAGCAAGAATGCGATAATTGTGAACAGAAGACCCGTCGACGCGTCCAAGCGACGACATCCGACGTCTTTGGAGAACGGAAAACGAGACGTCGTGGATCGTCTTAAGAGAAACGTAAGATCACGAGCATGATGAGAAACGTTTCGATTCAGGAGTTTCAAAAGAGATATTAAAGTGACATTTTAATTATTTTCTAAATTGTGAATAATGCAAACATGAATTTAATTCTATATTATTTTATTATTTTTGATTTGATTTATTATTGGATTAATTCAATTTTTTAATCATAATCAGTTCAATTACACATCAAAAAAGTTTAATTTCAAATTTTCAATCGTTGGAATATATATTATAAATATTATAATCTGTTAAAAATAAATAATTCTATATTCCAATTTAAATTTCTTACATTTTATTGAGAATTTCGATAACAAATTCGTATTAAAATTATTATTAAATTATTTTCTACAATGCTGCATAATTTAACATTTCAAATTATAAATTATTATTATTACATTAAAATTATTACGAATTATTATGAATATTTTAAATCAAACTTATTTTTATTTTTTAGGATAAAAATGGTTCAAATCGAGAGGAGAATGACGTCGTTAAGAAAATCGATACAAAATGTTCAAAACAGTTTTCAAAGGCCTCCCAAATGAAACAAAACTATAGTTCTAAAGATAGTTCGATATCTATGAAACCGAATAAAAAGCTTGGAAATGTGCTCGCCCCGGTGGTTCAGCAGGCGAGGAAATCATGCTCCTATTTGGAGCTCTATCGTCGGAAATTCAGTTAGTTCGAAACGAGATAATGTTCTTCGTTCGTGACCAACGCGAGGGTTTGAAAGGGTGCGTTTACGCAAGGGTCACTCTAAATGCTACTGGAACCATGCAATTTTCCTCCGGAGGACGTTTACTTTGATCGTGATTAGATGTCTTTTCGACACTGGTGATATGTATATATATATATATATATATATATATCTGTAGAATTAGAACGTACGATGGACGTCTCAGTCCTTTCTTGTTTGTTGGTTTTGCCACAGTTCTGCTTTATTGTTATTTGGACATGCTGAATCTCTATTTAACTCGAAGCGATAAGACCGTGCGTTCCTGTTTTTCCTTAGAAAGAGAAATTGTATTTGGAAAGACGACTATTTTTAAAAGGTTAGGTACCGAGATATATGTATACAACACCCTGGAGATTAGGATTCGATATAATTTGATATCGATTTCGAAGTTTTCTTAACTCGAAGGTTTTTAAATACTTAGAAGTTCAAAAAGTTTGCTGATATTAACGATATTATATTTTCCAAATTGTAAGTTTACTTGCAACCTATTAAAGGTTTATTGTTATTAATGTAGAGATCATTAAATGTAAAAGTAATTAACGTGACAAGATTTTTTTTGTACGTATAGAATATTTAAATTCAATTCCCTAAAATTTATATAAAAATATTATTATTGGATATATTATAGATATATAAATATCAGGCGATAGCAAATAAAAAAGTTATTAACGAAGAAAGGAAAAAATAAAATAGATAAAAAAATACTGAGAAAGAAACAATTTAGATTAATTCTCACAAATGGAATTTTCAAATATAAATTTATTTTTTCGATCGAACTTTTTTATCCTTTTCTTTTTCGAAAAATATAACGATCCATCGAATCAATGTTGATTGAATGGCATTTTTTCTCCAATTTTAATTTTATTTTCTTCGAAATTTAAATATAGATTTAAATTCATTAATATCAGCTTTAAATTGCAGCTTTATCACTCACGTTTTAATTAAAGATTCTATTTTCAACATATATAATAAAATATTAAATATTTTCTTTAAAAGTTTTTCCTTCTTCTTTTACTGAAATTGTTTTTTTTTAGATTATTTTTAATTATTTTTTAAACAATAGTTAAATTCTGCTTTACTCCTTTAATATAATCAATTCTCTTTAAAAATTAACTCGCTTTCATTCGAATGTGTTATTTTCTACATATAAATTTTACATTTAAATACTATTTCTTCGTTGTTTTTAAATATGGTTTTAAAAATGTAGTTATAGAATAAAGATTTCACAGATTTCCGTTTAAATTAATCAATCTAATTTTCATTATTATTTATATTATTTCTTTATTTCGCTTTAGATAATTAAATTTTAATTTTATAAATACATATATCAAATTTTCATGCATTCAAATATTTTTGAATATATTTAAATCATGTATTTACATTTCTATTCTACAGTGAAGTTAATTTGACTGATGTATTGCGTATAATAAGTATCAAAGTAATTAAAGTTTTATTATAATATACTTAAAAATTGAAAATTCTTCTTGCCACAAAGAATATCTTTCTTTCAAATCTTCCTTCAATCTTCCTTGCTTTAATTTCAAAGCGACACATTAAAGAACGATCCGGCTAAGATGCATCTTCAGTTTCTCGTTGTTCGCAGGTGGACCACAATACAGCGTTCGATCCCCGGAGGGTTCCACCTTGTCGGTTTGCGGGGACAGCGAACGAGAGGAGCTCAGTGACAACGATATACGTACGTTGTCTACCCCAAGGGACGATCAAAGCGAGTTGAGTTTTTATAGGCGTATAATCGAGGGATCTATCAATCCTCTGGCCTCTGAAAACCGATCGTCTAAAATTGTGGATCAATCAACGTTTCAAGATATCTCCCCCGATTCGAACACAGTTAAGCAGAACACGCCTGACGATAAATCGAAGAAGAATCTTGGTTACAAGCCATATACCATAGAAGAATACAGGGCTTTGTCGATACCGAAACTCGATCGATCTCTTGGGCCCGATAAAGTTGAGATGCAAGCCAAGGTAAGTGTGTTTCGTTTGTTCCCTTCCGGTACATTTCTTTGACCGTACTTAATTGAGCTGGGATTTATTTGTTTCGAGATCGGAGATAAAACAAGCTTGGCGTTAGATTGCCGTTAACATCGTTCGAATTTGTGATTTTTATTATATATATATATGGTTTTTTATGATTTTCTAAATCTGCATCAGACTTTTTAATTGAGAATAGGATATTCAATACTTTTTATTTAAAAAGATGTTGGATTTTCATTATACATATTAAAGGTGCGATAAATACAGAATTTTTGAAATAATTAAACATGTAATAGAAGATTACAGATTATTCTGCGATTTCTCAACTTGATTGAATTAATTTATAATTTTTCTTTTATATCTCAACATTAGAAGATATAACATTCATAGCATAGAGTATTTTGAGAATTTCGAAGTATATAATTACGTTTTTTAAATAAATTTTATTTTCGATCGATTGTACATGATATTTTCTGCAAACGTTTTTTTTTAATGTGTATTTTAATATTCATAAATCGCATTTTTTATGATTCATGGATGAGCGCGGCTATTCGGGTTAAAGTCGAGTTAGCAGAAGTTCGAACATAGACATCTCGCAATCTCGTTTCCTTGTCCCATCGGAAGTTAACCTGCCAGAGTCGAGAAAGCGAAGTAGAAGAAACTTCGCTTCCGCCGACCCATCACAGTTTACAATTTCATGGAAGACCTAAAGCGAGTTAGCTTGTCGCCCGTCTTCGTAACTTCAATCTAATAAACATGCGTCCGTTTTCTCGCAGCTATCTTATCATTTGATACCTTCTATTTTCTTCGTACGAGTCCTATCAAATTTGTACATCGAACGATACGCGAAGAATTTCAAGGATTCTCTACTCAATGTGATCAAGCGTAAAGTTGAATTTATTATTGATAATATAATTTAATATAAACAAAAGAAAATAGGATAAATTCTATAAATTGATATACTGTTTCATAATTCATACTCATACAAAGTCAATAAATATTTACGAAAAGATATCAATGATTTTTTAATATATTGTAATAAAATTATCACATTAAACTGTGAAGATTTTATTTGGTGATCGTTGTTTATTATTTAACTAAATCATAAAATCAGAAATTAAATAAATTTTTGTTTGACGTCAATTAATTTATGTTAATTCTAAGTTTTCTTTCATTTCAAATCAAAATTAAATAAAAACTTATTTAACTATTAGTTGATTTAATAATTTGTATTATTTGGATATAGTTTTCTTAATCCAGATGAGAAAACCAATCATCAATTATTTGCAGCAATAATCTGATTAAAACTAATCTAACCTAATTTAAAGTTTTTATTAATAAAACTTTCTAATGAACAATGATTACCAAGTAAAATCTTCACAACATTATTCAGATTAATGACAATATATTAAAAAATCATCAAGATCAGAGAATAATATTTTTTTATAAATAATTATCTTAAAGCCAAATAAATTAACATCATTTTAAAAAAAAATTCCGTTTACCAACTCATGATTAGAATTGCACGTTCTAATATTTTTTGTATTATATTTTTTACATTAATTCAATATCGTATTAGTGGAATAAAAATTTTATTTTCAAACTCAACGAAGATAGATATTTCAGTACTTATACGTGACACATAAGATGGCGTCGCAATAGCGGATGCTTTGAAAAAATCGAGAGCAATGCTGTTCCTTCGAGACAGCATTCTGGTAGACGTGCCAGTGTAACTTCGACAGTCGCGCGACGCCAGGCGCACAACGAGGAAATAGTTGTCGCCGTTGGTACTCGAAGACACAGTAAATTCCAGAAGTCTTTGAGCTAAATACCTGTTCCAGAGCTGGCGGGCCGGCCTGTAAATTTTTCAGAATTCCTAATATTACGAGTTGGACCTTGGAAGAAGAAAGAGAGGGGAGGAAGAAATTAGTATGATTGTCCACGGATTCACACGGATAGTCTTCTAGATATGTATTCACATTACTTTTCGCTTTTAAGGAGAAAGAATTCTATTTATTTTGAGCAAAAATCATTATTACTTTAACAGATTGAAAATTAAAATTTTATATTATGTTTTAGCAACAATTTTTTACCAATTTTTATTTTGATATCTCTCAATTGAAAACAAATGATGAGACTGCAAATTAAATAGAAAATATTTGTACACTATTTTAAAAGAAAATTCACTTACTAAAATTTTTATTCAAATGAAAGTTTGTATGTAGAATATTCATATGAGCTTTCTTTTTCTAGCTGAATATTATTTAAAAAATCAATGCTTAAAGTTTCAATATGTTTTCGTTTTAATATACTTACTCTATAATGTAAATAAGATATAATATTTAGAAAATTTTAAATCGCAAAATGTTCAAATTTTAATTTAATATGAAAGAAAATTTATATATATTTATTTATATTCTTTTGAATCAAATTTATTATATTGTATTTTCTTCTTTGCGCATAGAGGTATGATAATATTAGTTCTTAAAATTATATCATTAGTGACGATAAATAAGATTTCATTAATAATTATGTATAGCAAATATAGAATGAAACATAGTTTAAAAGCTATATAACATCGAATCGATAAAATTATAATACGTATCAGTAAAGTATTACATCTGTGCAATTCCGTTTAAACTGGAATACAATTTTGGGAGATATATCTTGGAATATTTAGTGGGTCGAGGATGATTTTAGTCTAAAGTTGTACGAAGTGATTCGAACTTAGTACAATTTCAAGCGAACAAACTGATGAATAATACTCTGAAAGAGAACAGTTGAAGAGAACTTCCCTCCTATTGATTTAGAAGATTGATCATCCAATACATCTACTACGTCAAATTCAATCTTTGATGTTCCTTTCATATATATATATATATATATTATCTACCAATATTTTAAATGAAAAACAATGAAAGATTCAAACGAGAAGAATTCGTAATTGCATCAAATATTTCAATTAATTTTTCATTTAATTTGATTTAATTTGATTTCATTTAATATTTACTGAAGAGTTACTCACATTAAATCATGTGAATGATACGTAACGTAATATGGGAAGAAGGTGCACTGTACCGTGATAGTGCAGAGAAAGAACTTTCAAGCCGCAACTTGTTCCCGAGGAAAAATATGGACTTTATCCAAGACTTTTTCTTACAACCGCACATTTGTCGTACATTCTTTTGCTATTATCCAGGATTACCGAGTAAGTTGGATACCAGTGTAGATAAGTACACCGATATACGGGAATAAATTTGTTACCGTTGGACGCGCCGTCAAGGACAGTTTAAATGAAACGCCAGAGGAGGGCAGCGGAGTGGAACAAGGGGACAGCAGAGGTACACCATAATGCCTATAATTACACAGACTCCGGAGAGATTGTATTAATATTGCCCGCGGTTTAACTTAACGTGATATGAATTACACCGATGTGCATTAACGTTGTGGTTTCACGATTAAATGACGTGACGCGTCAAACAAGAAAACGAAAAAAAAAAAAAAAATAAATAAAGAGAAAGAGACAATAATACAATAGAATAGCGTGAAGTAATCAAAGGATGAATAAAAAAGATAGAAAAATTTGATTTTGCATCTTCTAATGAATTTCATCACTGAAATTATCGTTAAATTAAATCTCTTGTTAAATTATTATAAATAAAATATCTAATATCTCTAATATCTCTAATATCTAATATAATAAATTAAATATCTTGTTAAATATATGCGTCTCTCTTAAAATGAACACGAGACAGTTTTGTTCTTCTGACAAGATAAGAAGTACAAGTTAACCATTGACGCTACGGGATAAGTAGTATAAGTCAACTATTGGGATAAGTAGTATAAGTCAACTATTGGGATAAAATATCCAATATGAATAATACGTTTAATAAAAGTTTATTAGATTTTAATCGTTACTACTTAAACTGTTCGAATTTTGTGACACAAACGCTTGAAATATTTATACATTTTCAAGTTTAAAAAACAAATAACAATTTGTTGACTGATTTTACTATTCAAAACATAGACCAGTATACATCTATTCTGAATCTTCTGTCAGATACAATTTCCTTTCTTCCTTTTCCCGTCCTTTTGTTCTTTCTTTCTATTACCACCTTCCCCCTCACCCATCCTCGCTATCCTTTCCCTTTGCACCGTCCTCCTCTTTCGACAAGCATTTGCATAATCTACTTTACTCGCTGGATTCGGTCGGGGGTGAGTCGGCACTCGACGATTTTCGGTGTAGCTCGATCGATCGATCTTACTGCACTTTTAACGGGCAAACCCACACCGAATATCCTCACCGTTGGTTGTCGGTAAAAAGGGACAGGCAGATGGAAAAGGGAGGAAGAGGGAGAGAAATAAGGGGTCTCGATATAGTAGTGGATAGGTGCTGTGTTGTCACACGTGTTTCAGACGGATGTGTAGGTTGTACATATACGTGCTCGCGTTACCGGAAACTTGGAGAGGGATGGCGAGGGAGGTCGTAGGGCTTTCGTAAAAAGTAAATAAAGCCCCCGGCGCCCGAACCTCCCGGTCTGTTTAGTTTGAAAGTTTCATCGAAGCGATGGCAGCTTCAGGGATTGTTTGTTGTTGCAGAGAGAGTGGCTGATGCGGCGAAGGTCATATGGGAACTCAGTTAGCGCGCGTAATCGCCAACGGATATTGCTGCAAACGCACAGGCTTAAGGTATGTGTCATCCGCACGCGTTTAATAAACTTTTTGTCCGAGGTTTGTTTATTGGAAAAGAAATAATTTGTAAGGAAATAATAATGATAGTTTTCTTTTTTAAATAATTTGGATACGTATATAATTTGGAAAAAGATATTTTTGGATCAATAAAAAAAAAAAATTATCAATACAGCGTATTGAAGAAATCTGTCATTAAATGTGCTTTTGATAATTGAATTTATTTCTTAGTTTTTTTAATATTATATTTAGATATTAGTTATATTGAAGAGTAGGAAGATATAAAAGATAATATGATAATTATTTAAAAAAGTGATTTTGAGTTAGTTTTAATCCTATACATATAATTCAGTTTTAACTTTTGATATATCCGCAAAAATATATTTAATGCCATGTGCAATTTTCAATTTTTTTTTATATTAATTGATTAGAATTAGAGTTAAGAATATGGAGAGTACAAGAGGAAGATACTTCCCTAATTATATATTATATTCATAATATAGAAATTATTTAAAAAATTATTTATAATTCAATGATTTTGAAATAAAAAAATTTAACTAACTCTTGCCTATACATACAATTGTTGCTCTTAATTTTTAAAATATTTGCAAAAATGAACTATATTGAATTTCATCTTTACATATGCAGTGGATATATTTGTATATTTTAACTTATTTCTTCATGAATTTTGATGGGCTTGAAATATCTCAACTCTAATCCATATTAAATATCAGAATTTCACGAAATTCACTCAATTCATACTCAATATCCGTCTAAAGAAAAGTTAGACATTCCATGGATTTTTCCAATCAACTAAATAAAATATAAAATGATTAAAGAACCGAAATTACGATGATTGAAGTTAAAATAATGATAGCAATATTAGGTTCGTATTTAATATTTATTGTTGCGACATCGTTTATTCTAATTTCAATCGTACAAGTAAATATATTTCATTTTCCGCGGATTCGAAAAATTATCTTTTAATTAGACAAATATCGCATTACAAGAAACATAATTTTCGTTTCATTAATTTTTATATTTGCTAACAATAGAAATAACAAGTTACGACAGAAATAATTTTACACGAAAATTTAAAAAAATTGTTGTAAATAGCGTTTTTATTTTTTACAATAACGTTTTATATTTCATTCGAAATTATTTAATTTGCAATAAATATAATATCCATTAAAAGGCGTGACAATTTTGCATTTCGGAACATTCACAAATAATCGTGAACAATAACTAATTTCATCGAAAAAGTTTCTCATTTGTATTTTACATGAAAATACATGAAAATGTTATCGGATCGTTAAAAACTCCCGGCAAAAATTTTAAAATTTTCGATGTCCATGCATTTACCAATTTGTAACAATTTCGCGAGATAGGGCAATTTTTCTCGAATTATACAATATTATATTTTCTTATACAAAAACTTATACAAAAAAAATTATCTCCGTTTTCAGGCACCGTTTTGATGCTTTAGTTATAAATCGAATCGGGAGGCGCGCTAGATTCTCGAATCAAAATCAAATATCCAAATATTGGAAAACCGTAATAACGCGAAAAAAAGGATAGTCGAAGCGTGGCAGGATGACGAATTAACATCGTCCACCATTTGCTCGCGTTACGCTCGATAGTTAATTGCCAATTAGAGGACGCAAAGAGGCATCGCGACGAAAACTGATTCGTTTTACTCTCGTTTAGCACGGAGGAAAGTCAAGTCTCGTAATGGTCCTCTGGAAGATTTATAAGCGAAATTAATTACGTACGTATCACTTTTGTGTTAACAATGGCCAGTGCCTCCTCTTTTTTTCTTTTTTTTTTTTCCCCTATTCCCCGTTTCATCTTCCCTCCCGGTTACGCGTTTCGTTTCCTATGTTCGTTACAGGATCGTTAACGTCGCGCAACTCATCGGGCTTTTAGATTTATTTTCGCCGCCAGGGGAGGGGGGTTGCGTTCCTCTTTGGAATACCACCAAATTGTGGCATCGACGTATCGTGACCGTTTAATATATCGTTCCTTATTGCTCATTTAATCGATCAATTAATAAAAAAATTAATAATTACAATTTAATAAATTAATAATTACAAAGATATTGCACAAATCCAGAATATATGTATATACATATATCATCGTCATTCTCGTCGAAGGAGATTAAATTTTCCTTAATGATAACCGAGAGAAACTATAATCTATATATATATATATATATATATATATATCTATAAACTATAATCACACATATGTGCAAACGTGTTTTGTTAATTACACATATACTGTTTTGTCTTTTGTTTATCTGTTTGGTATTGTTTATCTGCGATACGGTATGTAAAATTGGTAATTAGATCCGATCGTAAGACGATAGATAGATAGTGGGAAGAAGAAGAAAGGGAAGGGAAAAGGGCGAAGGGTTGGGATGCTGGCGGGCAAAGTGGAGAGGGGAAGATCCAAAGCTAAATCCAATTATATGCACAAAGCGAGGGCTGCAGGCCGCAGCTACCACAAGGACAGGGCGGGAATTGAGGATACGAAGGCGAGAGAAGGTAGAGAAATTCTCTACACGTGGATAAACCTACGTTACGTTTCTCTGGGAAGGGGAGCGGAGCCCCCGTGACTCGCCTACCGCTACCGGAATTAGATTTTGCTTACTTTCGCCCTTGCAGGAGTGGCCCCTGCACCCTTGCACCCTTCCCCTGCTTTTATCCACGCCTCTCTCGCTATTGATAATCGCGGCCTGAATTTCAACGAGTTACGCTCTTTATGCATGTTTGCTCGGAACATTCTTTCGTTCGTTTATGGGGAACCGGTCAGCGCGAAACAATTTGCAAAGGAATTTGGAAATGGTTTGCGACATTTCGCGACACTGATCCCCCTCGTTGCGATACTTCGAGGGAAACTATTTCAAAATAATTTCATGCTAAACTCCGTTCGTAAACGAGGAACGATGGAATTTTTAAGGAAATAATGGAGTATAATTCGGTATCGAAATAGTTTTGGAAACTGAAGTTTGTTATTTAATTTAGTCTTTCTATTCTCTAAGATTCTACGAGATATAATTATGATATATTTTATTGACGATGATCGATCGTTTAATTTGTAATCTAATTTTTAGTTCAATTATTAATTTTTTACTGCGTGCAAGAAAGTTTGTATTGAAGGTAGAAGAGTTCGATCAATTTTTAAATATCTTTTTTTGAACTTATTTTAAGTATTTTCGTTTTGTATCCACAGTTGAAGGATACTGTCGCTGAAAAATGCTTCCTGCCTCCTTTGAAGAATCGGGAGATCGATAAAAAGGTAAATCAAGAGACTTTATTCTTTTACGAACACTCAACAATGATCTTTTTTCTGATATCTCTTTGCATTGATTGCTCGAAAAAGAGATTCTTCCTTAGATACTTTCGACTGTCTTACTATTTTTTATTAGTATGATCTGCAAGATCGATAAAATCGTTGTATCTCAAACTAAAATCATCACAAACATTTAAAAGAAAATAAAAAATCTCGATGATTTCATGTTTGTAAAAATTTCAAATATTACTTGTACAATTTACTTCTTTATAATATGTTATCGATTCTTTTATTTACAATAGTTTTTGTTATTATAGATTCAAGATTATTCGATACCTTTAACGATATTTGAGGATGAGGAAATTAACCTGAAGAATAGCGATACGAATAGCGATAGATATTCAAAGAAAAGTCGCGATGCTTGCAAAGTATCATTGTCAAGAAAATCTAAGAAATTCGAACGAATACCGAGTTTCTGTTCCTCGTTAAATTCTCACGACATCGTTGAAGATTCATATTTGGAATCTTTGAGGCAATGTCGTTTTTAGGAAGGAAGATAGAGGGACAAGGTAGACCATGTCATAAATCAAACATTGTGCCTTTAAATATATAGCATCATGCATAATTTAATTTTTTGTTCAGAAAAATTGTGAGATATATTTATAATTGATTCTTAAATAAAGATTAAGGATTCGATGATTAAATAGACGTATGAAATAAAAGAATTCCATTATAAAAATTTCGTATTCTTTTTTACGTACTTTGAACAATTTGATGATATAAAAATAACTGCAATTAACTAAAATAATATTCTTCAAATTTTTCTTTTTTCGTATAAAAAATTTAGCAGCCATTCAAGTTTTTTTTTCAAATAAATAAACTCGTATTATTTCTACTTTTGTTTACGAAAATCAAAGAACCTATCTGTTATTAATTATTTCAATCAAGAATACATTTTCATCGACAAATATTTCGCAAAAAAAAAAAAAAAAAAGAGGTATTTAAAGGGATTGTCGAAGAATTAATATAAATCAATTTCCATTAACGCGTGCACTCGTTTCTTCATTCCTTTTCCACGTATTTCCGATTCTCTTCAATTTCTTATGTCTAAAGTCTTAAATTTCAATCATTTTCTCCTCCTTCTCTATCTTCTATTTCCAGCAAGTTCGAGACATTCCTAAATAAATTATAAACCCTAGAGATTAGCCGATCGATGAAATATTTAAACTTTAATTTCATCTAGGCGTCTTATTAATTATAAATGTTATTTCAGGGTCATAGTGGATTCTAACCACCAAGGCGACATTTATACATTCAGTCACGCATAACTATGTATACTTTTTCATTCATACCAGCAACTAGACTAGTATGATACACCAGGGAATGCGCGAACCAGTAAGCGAATTCAGAAATTATTCAACGGTTTTTGACGTCTCGAGTACATGGCGGTGCCAGAAATTCTGAGCCATATTAAGACTTCAAACCAACCAGACCATTTTTATCCGCAATCATCCACTGAATTATCCGGGTGAAAAGAATTTAGTGGTTATAGAGATCAAAGAACTACTATTCCTGTTTAATTCATTTATTTATTGAGACGGTTTCATGAATATATAATCTCGGATTTGCATGAAGTTAAGTTTGTGAAAAGTTTAAAAAAAAAAAAATTTATGAAAACTTTTGATTCATTTTTTTAAAAAAATTTTTTAATAATTTAAGATTAAATTGTTTGTTAATTGTTTCTGTCGAGAAATTCGTGAAATTTTTGACAAACCTGAACATGCAACGTCTGGCAGCAACAGTCTGGAAAGTTTGATTCTGACGCGGCTATTTAATTTCCGCGAGGCAGACTGTTATTATCAAGTTCGAGTTTTAACGTGTTTTCTTAGGGATAGGAGAAATGCAAATACGATAACACCTGTCCAGGCTTTCCTAAGGCTTTAAACGTTGAACGGAAGTTAAATTGAATGCGGACCGACATTTATTTAAAGGATATCGGAAGGATTCCCTTTAAAACGTACGAAATTCGTGCGTGAAAGTATTAAAGTAGTGAAATTGAATTTTATCTACATTAATTAAATTGAAATCGAATTCATTTCGTGATATGAATCGTGGTATAATTATGGCATAAATTTAATAAAAATAGAAGAAAGTGAGATTTAATAAAAAATATGCGATAAATGAATCTTTTATTTCATTTATAACATTTCAAATGATAAAAGTATCTCTATATCGAAATTTAAATCTCTATATTATATTCATAATATCATCATGATATGATATATGCATATATATAATTTTTCGAAAGAGAAAAAGAGAAACTAATTTTTATATGCAGACTATATATATAATACATACAAGGTATTAATATATACAAAGATCAAAACAAATACAAAAATGCTAATTGAGATTGATTTATTAAAGTTAACAATTTAATTTCGCATTAGAATGAGATGAAGATAGAATGATAATCTAGTTTCATCTAATATAATTGCTTATAACTTAATAAATAAGTCTTAATTGATATTTTTGCATTAACTATATATATATTTGTTATCTCTAGAATTGAAAGTATTCCATGAATATATTAATATATATATATATATATGTATGTAATAAATATATAGATTTATATATAATTTTGAAATAGAAATTACCATGACTTGCGAATTGATCAAAGTATAATTTGTAAATAGAAAAATTTTAAATAATTTCTTTGTATTAATAAAAAAAAATAATGTTTTATATTTATATCTATCAAACCCATTCAAATATTGGTTATTGTTCATTACTATCGATATAACTTATTCGATATTCATTTCTAACTTCTAACTTAACTATTCCTATCTTAACCTCGGTATCATTTTTGACCCTTATTTAAAAAACGAGATAATTTTTACAAAAGTATATTTTCCAAAGTAATCTAAGTGAAATTGTACAAATTATGTTCGAAATACGTAAATTGTATCCGCTTTTGATTCTCCTAGTAAACGTAGAAATCTATCGAGGAGTAAATTTATTCATATAGTGAAATTCTCGACGATCCGCAAGGGGTGACTAGTAATCGCGGCGCCACGAGTTCCCTGTACAGAAGCCGTTGCGCGTGAATTAGCGATGCATCCCGAATAGATTTATCACGTCCAGATTAAGATTGACCCTAGAAAGAAGAAAGCGTCAAAATAATCGATTTTAACTGGTTGCGCCCGCGCGGCCGTCGATTCGCGACCAGCACCTCTGGTGGTAGTTAACGATACTACGTGAGCTGTCTACGTGGACAAGGGAAACTCGGTGGCGCGTGGGCGTGGTCGTGGTAGTGACGTGAACAGTACTCACGTGCGTGCGTGCGTGCAAAGTTGTGTTGTGCGCGACCTGATGCTGAATGCACGGGGTGCAAGGCCAACGACAGGGGTTGGCACGGACTGATTTCACCATCAGACTGCCGCCAAGCGGGGAGGTCTGTCTCGCGTGCCAACACACATCAATGGTTCAGGTGAGTAGTCTGTTCTGATGATTTATCTGCTTATTTTTGAGACGACTGTAGGTTAAGGTATTCGCTGGTCTTAATCGCGAAATCCTTTGCGCGAAGGAAGATTTATCATTGTGCGTTGCTTTAGGAATAAATTCACGAATATCGCGTCCGAGATGTCGCCACTGTGTCGGACGCGAGATGGGCGATACCACTGCGCTCACGTGGCTTCAACCCCACTGATTTCATATCATTGCAATTTGCTTATGTAGCTATATTCATTGTGTTTTGAAATTTTTTTTTTGTATGATTATTTTTATTATTACATCGTACAATATCTTTTCATTGCCATCTATATTTTATTTGTAAAAATGTTATGTTGATTTTATTTAATGTTAGTTATTATTTATTATTGATTTTTAATCAAGTGTTTTAGTTTCCATTTCATAAATTGGAAAAATCTGTTTTAAATATCGATGTAAGTTTCTTCGATCAATTTGCTTGCGTTTAAATGTTTTAATAAATTAAATTGTTTTCGATATTATTAAATCGAATAAATTAGATTGATTCAGTTAATATATTTTATATTAAGATAATTTTATTAAATATATATAATACGATATACTAAGAATTTATTTTTAATATAATTAATTACAAGTTTATTCCTATTTTACATTAATATTATCTAATATTTATGGTTTTTTAGGATATAATCATTTTTAATCATATTTTGTAATTTATTAGTTTTTGAACACATTACAATATTGAAAAATTATCTAGTAATACTTAGAAATCTATATATTATCAGTTAACATTTTGAAATAGAAGTTAAATTTCAACTTTTCATTAACTTTATCAATCTAATTATTCAAATAATTGATCAATATGCCTATTCTTTATTTTTATTATAATATCAAATATCTAAATATCATCAATTGCAATATCATTTCACGCTATTGTTAACAAACAGTATAATTATTAGCAAATAACACTCCTGGAGGATTAATAAATAAATACTTAAATATATAATTTATATTAAACGGCAATTCTCTAAAGGAATATTTCAGTTGAAACTGTTTAATCGAGTTTATATTCCATTCTAGTGATAATAGTTGCGTTATATCGACGCAGTCTATGAAATCGACTAATAACAATTGCGATTTTATGGTATGCGTTTGCGCACGCAATACCGATATCGTTATTTAAAACAAAGAATGGAAGAATCGTTATCGCTATAATTAACACGAATATCAACGATATCGTGTTGATCGTGCACATGTCGATCGTAAATATCGTTACATACAACGAGCTGTTCAAAACTGATCGAAAAATTGCGTGTCGTGGCCCTATCTGGCCCAACTATTAATCCTGCGACGGTTTCCGGAAATTCTTGGGGGTTAAGGGAGCAGTGTAAATCCTTAGCTGGCTCGTTGTGGTCCTTTATGTAAATGGATAATGGGTCTTCCTGGTACTTGGCCAGGTTCCTAGACGACTAGTACTACCACCAACGTGCATTGCAACGCCGAAGGGCAGTTCATTAACTGCCGGACTCTGGTTCGATGAGAGTTACGGGGAACCGAATGGCTTTGAAGTGGTAGACGCCTCGAGGGCGTCCACTGCTGAACAATGAGAATTATCTTTCTCCCTCTCTTCCCCGCCTTCCTATTTCCTTCTTTATCTTCGAAACCTTTGCATCTCCATATTCATCCCTCTCTGTGTGCATGTGCATGCCTGTATATGCAAGCGTTTGTGCGAGCAGACTGACGCCTATAATTGAGCCGCTTCAGGCTAGGAAACAATCATCGTGGGAATCGGCATGTATGAAAGCAATCTTAATGAATTGACGGATGAGAAGTATCGAAGTGTGTCCTCTCGTGACCACTGCCAATTATTGTGGTCAGTGAGCCAAATAGAATAGGTCGTATATCGTTGAGGCAACGATTATAATTACTGGTAAAATGTTAGTTTGAGTTGGTACAATTATATACGAGATTTATTCAATCAAGAGAATTAATTGAACATTTTTTTTTAGGTTAGAGCAGTTAGAGAAATTTATTTAGAAACTTTCTGTTTTGTAACAGTAATTTATAACATTTTTTTTCAGTTAATAATATTAAAAAATTGTTGATAGAATGATAAAGATATAGATAATCTTTATTGAAGTTTTGCAATTTTATGTTAAATAGGCAAATCAATTGATTTATAATTTGTAGAATTTTCTTATAAAATATCTCTTATTTTATAATCAAATTTACTCCAATGTAAAAGAAAGTAAAAATTATTATTATTTCTGTAAAATTATACTTAAAATTTTATATTTTTTAATTTTTTACAGAAACATATTTCAATGAATAGAAATTTGATGAAGTCTTTTATAAAAAATAATTATTTGTTTTATTATTTAATCTTCCTGAATAAGAGTCATTGCATTAATATTAATAATTTTGAAAATAACAATTTATTCAGAATACAATTACAGAATACAATATAATAAAAAAAAATTAGGATAGTATAATAAATTATATTCAGATTTACCATAAAAATCAATATTTCATAATCATTTATGTTATAAATATACAAAAATGATTAAATCAAGAAATATAAATATCTATATATACTTTGTTTCTGATAATCTGTTTGATCTATATCTTATTTATAATAAAATCAAGTTTTAATTCCAACCACTATTAACGCTACACTCGTTTTCTATACTGAACCGGTAAAATCGCATAAAAATGGTAAAGAAGTTCCCAAATTTTTAAGACATGTACCTCATATCCTACCATGTATATTTTTTTAAAAATATTTTACAATATAATATAATTGGAATAAGACAAACATAACTTTATGAAATAATATATATATAATATATGATATAATATAATCTAAAAAAAAATAAATAAACAAAAATTGAATGTAAACCACAAATAGTTAAAATTGAATTTTGTATTTGCATTTTCTTTTTTCGTTTTCTATATTTTATTATACATATATATATATATATTTTCAAGCATCATACATTTATATTTGAAGTTTAAATTTTTCAAAATTTTATTTTTGAAATATATCACATTATGTTTCGATTTAATCAGATTATTTTCATTTTTTGGTATTATACGTACATGGTAGTTGATTCGCTGCTAATTGTTACATAGGTACTAAAGCTTCGAGGAAAGGTGGCAACTCTATGCGTGACTCTTACTACTTGCAGCGGTTCTGTATCAGATTATGGCAACTTATTTAATGATTCTTTATCAAAATAATTGTTGACAACGTAATAATCTCTTGCCTTGCATAAGTAGACCTGTTTATACGTTGAATTAGACACGATGATTTTATTTGATTTTATGTTTTTGATGGTTAATTAATAGCTATTTAATTACTTATTAGTATATTTTATATCTATTAAGTAACAATTTTATAAATATCGTTTTATAAATCATTTGTTTTATTAATTTTGTCTCAAATATTTTATGTATTATTTGAATTATAATTATCTCCAAATATTGTTTATATTTTTTAAATAAATATTGTTTATATCCCTCAATTAAAAAGATAAAAATTAGAAATATTATTTTATACGTTTTATATGTAACAAGTGCTTCGTTATTAATAACTTTTGCGTTTGTTGAGGATATCGATTCTAGTTTGATAGCGGTATCCTCTTTTATAAATCACGAATAGCCAATATATTGGACGTGTCACACGTGATCATAGAAGAAAGAATATCATATCTCTAATAGATGTTGTACATCTTTTGCGTCTATATCTTCTACTACATTTAGATAAAGCTGTTTACTTGCTATTGCACTCTTTACACCATATTTCGATTTGCAAATTAAATATCCATACCAACTTTCAAAATCCAAATTCTTAAATCGCCCCATACTTTTTCTCATACCATTTCCAATATATTTCGAACTCCAAAATGCGATAATTCATCGTAACGAACTGCGATAATTCATCGTAACAAAATCCGTACATTCGAGATGTAATATTTTTCTTTATATAGAAAACATCCCTTTCTCAAAAAAAAGCAAATAGTTGTCGAAATTCAGAGTTCGCGATTTATCGACATGGATCGGTCGCCTCGCGTATATAGAATACTTTCGAATTCGTTGGACGAATCCCGGATCAAATTCGGTGCGTGAAATCCATCCGTCTCACAGATGGTATCTCTCGTCAACCGGGGGGAGGGTATTTGAAATGATTCATTCGATCAGATACCGAGGAGCAGAGCGCGCGGACACGATGAGCGCGAGATAGATAGATTTCTCTTGTTCACCTGGTAACTTGTTTGATTTCAATCATTTTCGAGTGTTTTCAATACATTTTCGAAGTGTTTTCAACGGGAAACCGGCAGCGCGGCCGTGGTATATTGTTTTATCGTTTCCGACCGTTTTCAATGGGGTCGACGTGCCGGATATACAAATCGAAAACGTCGAATTACATCCAGCCCCGTTGGTCCCATGCTACATATATACCGACGTCGTCTGATGCGTCTAACGCACCATCACTGAATCATTTTCTCGGCGTTCGCGCGCGCCTCTGTCACGTTTTCATTCGATTATTTTTACCGTGAGATGTTCACCGTTCGTTCGATCCTCGATACAATGTTTTTAATCAAATGAAAACCGTAGATTTCGCATGAATCTACATTCAATATCTTTCATTCTCTCACTCGTTTAACGAAATAACGTTCGATTTCATACGATTTGTTTGGATTTCATGCTTCTCGTTTCACCAAGGAACATGCGCAAAGTGTTCGATTGATATACGTAAAATTTCGTTTCTTTCGAATTTTTGATAAATTGTTGTTCGGTAAATTTTCATCTATCGTTTGTTTGTATATGTTGCAAAGGAATCGAATTTCATATCAATTTTCATGTTTGTATACATTTAAATGTGGATGAACGTTATTTGGAGAGTAATTCTTCTCGAAGAATGTGTATGTTTGATAATTCGTGTTACAATAGCAGAATCTTTTCTGTGTATAAATGCCTTTCTTAAATTGGCAACATTTC